AGAGAGAGAGAGAGAGAGAGAGAGAGAGAGAGAGAGAGAGAGAAGGAGATAATGTTCCTTAGAATGAGAAGGTATAAGAAGTACAGAAGGTGTTGGATAGACAGGCAGAGTCTAGATCATACAACCCATGATAAAAATCCTAATTAAGAATTTCATTTCTTATTTTAGTTACACTAGAGATTTTTAAGGAAATAAAGGGAAAGGTATTATTTTGCAAAGATAATTCTGAGTGCCAAAACAATTCAACATCGAAAGAATAATCTTTTCAACCAATGGTTGTACTAGAGCAATTAGATAAACACATGCAAAAGAATAAAGCTGGACCCTTTCCTCAAGATATACTGAAAAATTAATTCAAAATGGGTCAAATTCTTAAATGTAAGCAATAAAATTATAAAACTCTAAGAACAAAATATAGGAGTAAACCTTTGTAACTTTCAGTTACACAAAACCATCTTAGGATACCAAAAGCATGAGGCAAAATAAATAAATGGATAAATTAAACTTCATGAAAATAAAACCTTTTGTATTTCCAAGGATACCATGAAGAAAATAAAAAGACAACCCATAGAATGGCAGAAAATATTTCCAAATATATATCTGATAAGGGGTTGTAGTGAAAATGTAACAAGAACTCGTGTAACTAATAACAAAAGACTAATAACAATTTAAAATAGGCAAAGGATCTAAACAGATGTTTCTCCAAAGGAGATATACAAATGGTTAATAAGCCCACGAAAATATGTTCAACATCATTAGATGAGAAACATGAATAAAACCACAATGAGATATGATTCTACACCTGCCAGAATGGCTTTAATAAAAAAGAGAGATAATTAAGAAGTGTTGATGAGGATGTGGAAAACAGAACATTCACACACTGCTGGTGGGAGTATAAAAAGGTGCAGTCACTTTGAAAGAAGTTAATTGCAAAAGACCAAATATTATATATCTTAATTTATATAAAATGTTCAGAATAGCCAAATCTTTAGACAGAAAATATAATGGGAAGGTTGAGGGGAATGGAGAATGATTGCTAACAGGAAAGGGCTTCTTCTGGGGATGATAAAAGTGTTATAAAATTGCTTGAGGTGGTAGGTGCATACCAACTGGTGCTAGAGCAAGTAGACATCCATAGATAAAAAATAAAATAAAATAAAATAACCCAAAGTTTTATACCTCATACAAAATTAACTCAAAATGAATCATGGACTTTGTGTAAAGCCCAAAACTATATAATATTTAGGATAAAAAGCATATGAGAGAATATTTAGGATCTAGAGCTAGGGAGTTCTTAGACTTAACACTAAAGCATGAGACATAAAGACAAAAACAGATACACTGAACTCTACTGAAATTAAAAAATTATGCTCTGTGAAGATCTTCCTGAGATTATGAAAAAATAAGTTTTAGGCTAGGAGAAAATATTTGTGAAACACACATCTGACAAAGAATTAGTGTCTGGAATATATAAAGAAACCTCAAAGCTCAACTGAACAGAACCAATCTAATTAGAAAATGGGAAAAAGAAATGAAGAGATATTTTATTGAAGAAGAGATCTGAACAGCAAACAAGCACACAAGAAAAGATTCCCAATATCATTAGTGATTAAAGACAGGCAACTGAAAAGTAATGAAACATAATTACATAACAATGTCTAAAATAAAAAATAGTGACAATGTCAAATGCTGACAAGGATGCAGAGAAACTGGGTCACTCAGATACTATTGGTGGGAATATACACTTTTTGGTACAGACATGCTAATTAATAGTTTGGCAGACTCCTACACACATACACACATACACACACACACACACATATCACTACCATATGGTCTAGCAGTTGTGCATCTGGACGTTTAATCCAGAGAAATTAAAACAAAAACTTGCACACAAATGTTTACAGCAGCTTTATTCTTTAAAAAAAAAAAAAAAAAACATTTTTTTTTAGGTGTAGTTGGATACAATACCTTTATTTTATTTATTTATTTTTATGTGGTGCTAGGTGAGCACTCTACCACTGAGCCACAACCCCAGCTATAGCAGCTTTATTTTTAATAGCCAGAAACAGAAAAACAAACAGGTAAATAGTTTGACAGGTAAATAGTTAAAGTGTCATAACCACACCATGGAATACTATTCAGTAATAAAAAGGAACAAAATATTAATACATACAACTACCTGATGCTCCAGAGATGAGTTAAAAAAAAAAAGGCAATCATAAAAGATTACATACCATATTGTTTTATTTATATACTATTGTTGAATAACAAGATTATAGAAGTGGAGAACAGGTTAGTGGTTGCCAAGGATGAAGAAGGTGAAGGTGGGAGAAAAGTAGGTGTGGCTATAAAAGGGCAACAGGCAAGATTTTTATGGTGGTGGTTCTGTATTTCACTTTGTTAATATCATTTTCCTGGTTTTGATATTTTACTTAAGTAAAATTGCAAAGTAGAAACTAGGTAAAGGTTCAATGAATTGCCCTGCATTATTTCTTATAACTGCATGTGGATCCACGATTATCTCAAAATTAAATGTTTAATAATAATGATAATAATAGGGCTGCATGTGTGGCTCAAGCGGTATTGCGCTTGCCTGGCATGCGTGCGGCCCGGGTTCGATCCTCAGCACCACATACAAACAAAGATGTTGTGTCCGCCGAAAACTAAAAAATAAATATTAAAATTCTCAAAAAAAAATGATAATAATAATAAAAGGTAGTGGGGCAAAGTGGCACACACCTGTAATCCCAATGACTTGAGAGGCTGAGGCAAAAAGATTGCAAATTCAAGGCCAGCCTTAGCAACTCAGCAAGACACTCAAGCAACTTAGTGAGACCCCATCTGCTGTGACTACTCCTCCTTTTTTTTTTCTCTTTAAAGTTCACAAATAAATAATATTTTGACATTTTTTTACCTTATATTTAAAAATTATAAAAATAAAATAGTAAAATAGTATAGGAGTAGAAAGAAGACAGATTAAAGGAATGACTAGAGAAGACTAAGCCTATAGAAAAATTTAGTATATAATAAAGAAATTGTTTCTTTTTTTTTGGTGTGGTACTGGGGATTGCACCAGGGCTTCACTTAGGCTAGTAAGTGCTCTATTATGAGCTACATCCTCTGGCCAAGAGGTCAATCTCTACAGATTAAAGCAACTGGAATTCTTACTCTCCAGTTACCAGACAATTGGCCAATGAGAGATATTGGAGGAAATCAGAGAGAGTCAATGTCAAGGTCATTGTACTGTCATGTGTAACTAATTAAAACAAATAAAAAAATTAAAAAAAAAAAGAGTTAAGTATTACCTTCACCCTTCCCCTGCTGGGCCACAGCTCGAGACCTATGTTTCAACAATTGGTCTGGCTGAGTTCTACTAATTACATCCTTTCCTAGTCTCTTCAGAGTTAAGGGTAGCAATAGTTTTTGGCTCTTGTTAACTCTACAATGCTTCATTATCCCTCACTTGTTTCCCCAACTTTGACCACATCGTTATAAATAAATATACTCTCTTCCTTAAACTTCTGTCAATTATCCTTGAATGTGTCATCTACTTCATATCAGGGTCCTGATGTACTTGCTAAGAAGCACAATCTGGAATGCTGAACTAGTAAATATCAAGGTTCTCTGCATATTTAGAAATGAACAGTTAGAATGACGGGAATATGAAAGGCTGGGATTGTGGCTCAGAGGGAGAGCACTTGCCTTGCAAGTGTGAGACAGTAGGTTCGATCCTCAGCACCATATAAAAATAAAACAAAGATATTATTAAAAAAAAAAGAATGATGGGAATACGAAACAGCTTTTAAAATAAATGTTGGGATGATCTAAAAAAATCTCTTTCAGGTGCCAGGGTTGTGGCTCAGTGGTAGAGTGCTTGCCTAACATGTGTAAGGCACTGGGTTCAATCCCTGGCACCACATAAAAATAAAAACAAATAAAATAAAGGTATTGTGTCCATCTACAACTAAATATATATATATATATATATATATATATATATTTTAAAAAAATCTCTTTTCAAAGCTGTACAATAAAGAATATGGTCTTGCTCAAAGAGAGTTCTGACCTTACAAACGCCAGAAGTTTGTCTCCTGGAAACAAATTCTAAACCCTTGGAATTTTCTTAGTAATAGGAGAAACTTTGTAATTTGAGATGGGTCCCTTGGACCATCCCTGCAGTTTATATTAATGAGGTGACTCATAGGGATCCCATGAACACTATGGTGTCAGTTTAGCCCACTGGAAAGGAAGAGCTGGAGACTAAATTCAACCATATGGGCAATCAATCAATCATGTTTATGCAATAAAATCTCAATAAAAAAATTTAACATTGAAGGCCAGGATTGGCAACATTCCATGTATATTGTCATATATCAATTTCAAAAAGATAACATGTCTGGAGGACAACAGAGGCTTTTTTGGAATCTTCCCAGTTTTTGCCCTGTTCAGTTCTTTTCTTGGCTGACCTATATCTTTTCCCTGTAACAGTAAGTTTCAGAGGTTCAGTGGACTCTGGGAATCTTTTTTTTTAAACTCAGTGCTTTTTTTTTTTTAGTTAGGTGGACACAATACCTTTATTTTATTTATTTATATGTGGTGCTAAGGATGAAACCCAGGGCCTCACACATGCTAGGCGAGTGCTCTACTGCTGAGCCACAACCCAGGACAGACTTTGGGAATCCTTCTAGAAAATTATTAAACCTGAGAGTACTCTTGGGAAACCTCTGAACTTGTGGTAGGTGTGAGAGGTGAGGATAATCCTGTGGGGACAATTTGTCTAACTCTGGAGTTAGATCCTAATTCCTTGTGAGTGGGATCAGAAATCTGGGCAGACTTTGGTATTTGATAGTTTGGAAGTCTATGCCCTTCACCTCAAGATTTGGCTTATTCTGGATCAAAGCACAAAAATATAAGCATCAGAAAATATAAATAAGATTAATTTGTAAAATTAATATTTTACATATTTATATGTGTATAATTTAAATTCTTCTACTTACCTGAGGGTCCACTAACCACCCATGGTACAAGGGAATATCAAGAAGATCAAACACTATGCATTCCGGTGTATATTCAAATACTCGAACACCAGTGAATCTGACATTTACATCCAGGCCTGTCTGAAGTTTGTGTAAAATTGCCATAGCATCACTCATATTCTGAAAATAAAAAAGGGGGAAAGATATAGTTTAGAAAAATAAAAACAAAAGCAACTAAAATAGCATACCCCTGTGGTCCCAGCTATTCAGGCAATTGAGGCAGGAGAACTCCTTGAGCACAGGAGTTTGGGGCCAACCTGGATAAACAGGAAGACTCGGTTGTCTGTTTAATTTTTAAAAACAAGTTTTCCATTTTATCCAATTTATTCAGCTTTTCAATAGATTTTTTAAAATATTTTTTTAGTTATACATGGTCACAATATCTTTATTTTGTTTATTTTTATGTGGTGCTGAGGATTGAATCCAGGGTCTCTTAAGTGCGAGGTGAGCGTTCTACCACTGAGCCACAACCCCAGCCCCTCTTCAATAGATTTTTATTACTAAGTACCTATTATGTTCCAGACATTCATGAGTTCCAAAGATACAATGGTGAATAAAACAAAATTTTGTTCTTATGTAGTAACATTCTAAACATGTAAATTTACAGTACAATGTCAAGTGTTAGTAAGAAAAATTGAGTAGTCTGAGGTTGTACAGAGTGGAAGGGGTGAAGGACCTATTTTAGATGTGAAAGTTTAAAGTAAAAAGAATTTCTATGTAATCCCAGTGTCTCAGGCGACTAAGGCAGAAAGATCAAACATTCAAGGATAGCCTCAGCAACTTAGCAAAACCCTGTCTCAAAATTAAAAATAAGGGTTGGGGTTGTACTCAGAGGTAGAACATCCCTGGGTTCTAGCTCTGTTACTGGAAAAACAACAACAAACCAAACAATTTCTAAAGTCAGCCAGGTGTGGTTGTACCACCTGTAATTCCAGGTACTTTGAAGACTGAGGCAGAAAGATTGCAAATTCAAGCTAACCTAGACAATTTAGTGAGACCCTGTCTGAAAAATAAAATAGCTTGCCGGGCGCAGTGACACATGCCTGTAATCTGAGTGACTCAGGAGGCTGAAACAGGAGGATTATGAGTTCAAAGCCAGCCTCAGCAACAGTGAAGCAAGCCCTAAGCAACTCAGTGAGACCCTGTCTCTAAATAAAATACAAATTAGGGCTAGGGATGTGGCTTAGTGGTTGAGTGCCTTTGAGTTCAATCCCCAGTACCAAAACATAAAATAAAATAAAATAGCTCAGTAGCAGACTACTTGCCTAGTATATGCAAGACCCTGGGTTCCATTCCCAGTATCACATACACACACATAAAAAGATATTTGCAGACCCATATTCATTACAACATATTCTCAATAGTTAAGAAGTGGGGCTGGGCATGACACCTGTAACCCCAGAGGCTCAGGAAGCTGATGCAGGAGGATGGTAAGTTCAAAGCGAGCCTCAGCAATTTAGTGAGGCCCTAAGCAACTTACTGAGACCATGTCGCTAAACAAAATATAAAAAGGCCTGGGATGTGGCTTGGTGTCCAATCCTCGGTTTAAATAATTAAAAAAAAAAAAAAAAAAGGGAATTGGAAGTGTCCTAATGCCCGTTGTCTGATGAATGGATAAAGAAAAAGTGATATATACATACAGTGGAATATTATTCAGCATTAAAAAAAGATGAAAAATTCTGTCAAATGCTACAACATGGCTGAACCTTGAGGACATTATGAGGAATGAAATAAGCCAGTCACAAAAGTACAAATACCTTATAACTCCATTTAAATGGAGTATCTACAGTAATAAAAAAAATCATAAAAACGAGTAAAATGGTGGTTTCCAGGGACTTGAGGGGATGAGAAATGGAGAATTGTTGTTGTTCAATGAGTATAAAATTTCAGTTTCACAAGATGAAAAAGATCCTTTACACGATGCTGAGTATAACTGACATTATTAAACTGTATAATTAAAAATGACCAAAAGGATAAATTTCATAATATAAATTTTTGAAATTTTTGTTTTTTTAATAAGCTATTAAGTCATGAAAAGTCATGGAAGAAACAAATTATTTTACTAAGTGAAAAAAGTCAATCTGCAAATATTACAAATGGTATGATTTCAAATGACACTCTGGAAATGGAAAGTCTACAGATAGTAAAAATCAGTGGTTGTGAGGGATTTTAGGGAGAGAAAGGGATAAATAGGCAAAGCACAGAAGATTTTTAGGATAGTGAAAATATTCTGTATGATATCATAATGGTGAACACATGTCATCATACATTTCTCAAAATACAAAGAATGTATAGTTCCAAAAGTGAATACAGCTATGCCATGAACTTTGGGTGACAATGGTGCATTAATGATATAACAAATGTACAACTCTGATGGGATGCTGATAGTGGGGGATGCTGTACATGAGGTATATGGAAGTACAGGAGGTACATGGAAATTCCCTACTCTTTCCCCACAATTTTGCAGTGAATGCCTTGAATCTAAAGGAAAACAGGAAGGCTTCTTAAAAAATGATAGTTAAATAGAAACTAAAGTGAAAGTCTTGGGAAGCCCTTGGAAAAGACCATTCTAGACAAAGTGGACAGTGCACAAATTCTGATGCAGAAATGAATTTATTACAGCATAGGAGTCCAATAATGCTAGATTAAAATAAATGAGATGAAAAGTTGTAGAGATGAAGTCTGAGAGCCAGGCAGAAAGTGGATCAGAGACTTACTGCCCTAATTAAGGGGTCATTCTGTCCACAGTTCTCAGTAAATGTGATCATGTAAGTCAGTAATGAAGACAATTTTAAAACATTTTTTCTAAACATTTTAATAAAATAAATATGAATATCTGTATGGAGAACATATTTGATAGAAAAAATTTTAAAAATATATAAAATTTAATAAACTTTTACAGAATCTCTACAGCTTATCAGACAGTATGCTAGAAGACATAAAAGTAGTAGTATTTAAGTAGATATAAAATAGGACTACTGGAAGGGCTTATAGTAGAAAGGATAAATATGAAATAAACCTTTCTTATATTAAAAGTAGGGCTGGGTGTGGTGGCACACACCTCTAATCCTAGCAATTTGGGAGGCTGAAGCAGAAGAGTCATGAGTTCAAAGCCAGCCTCAGCAACTTATTAATGGGACCTAAGCAACTTAATAAGACCTTGTCTCAAAAAATAAAAATGGGTTGGGGATGTATCTCAGTGGTTAAGCACCCTTGGGTTCAATTCCTGGTGCCAAACAACAACAACAACAAATTAGGGAGCATCTCTGGAATTTAAAGAAGGCAAATTTTAGGTCATAAAATTAATGTTCTGGTTTTACCAAATAACTTATTAAATCCCATTTTAAGAAACTGTACAGACTGCAAACAAATTAGTAAAATGTTTTAAATGTATAAATGACACATTTTTATAAATAGGATAACACTGTTTTTACAGTGGATAACACTTTATCTTCACAGTACCCTAAAACAATATATTTTCTCAGTCTTCCCAAAAGTTAACTCTTAAAAACATTCAGTTCACATTTTTCCCTTAAGTGTTGTAAAACCTTTTCTAAAGCCACAACAATTATGAATCTGAAAAAAATGTGAACAATATTGAGCAAGCTAAGGATTGTAATTCTACCACCAAATTTTTCTTCTATTTTTGTTAAATTCTTGGCTGCTAATCACCCACCTTCCTTTGGGGACATTATAATTTCTTTACTTTTACTTTTCTCTCTCTCTCTCTCTCTCTCTCTCTCTCTCTCTTTTTTTCCTTGTGGCAGTAGGGATTCAACCCAGGGGTGGTCTATCACTGAGCTACATCCCCATCCCTTTTTATTTTTTATTTTTGAGATAAGGTCTTCCTAAATTGTCCAGGCTGTCCTCACCTGTCTCAGCTTCCTAAGTAGCTGGAATTAAAGGCAGGTGCCACCATGCCTGGTAGGGGATAGTGTAATTTCTCATGGTTCCTGAGCTCATGCTTATATCTTCATATACTTGCTATGTTTATTATGGTTATTTAGTATTAAAATAACTGAATAGTATTTGATAGTACTATTTGATAGTTTTATTATCTTTATAGAGATTTATAAAACTGATACAAAATAAATGTATAAACAAAGGATTAAGAGGGATAAATCTTTTGTCACCTGGTTCCTAATTCCACAATGATAATTAATATTATAAAATATAAATTTGAGGGATGATTGCTTACATCATAAAAAAAATTACTACTGGATCCTTTAAGATAGTGGTTAAACTGTTTCTTAGAACTCCTCCCCAAGGTATTTCTAAAATGAGGAAATATTTTAAATTTAAGAAAAAGTTGGCCCTAATCTCCATCTCGTGGGGTCGGGCTCCAAATTCCTTAATAGGACACCTATAGCACAAGAGTTAAAATCAAGAATCAACAAATGAGAAAAACTAAAAAGTTTTTTCTCAGCAAGAGAAATAATAAGTGAGGTAAATAGGGAGCCTACATCCTGGGAACAAATTTTTACCCCTCACACTTCAGATAGAACACTAATCTCTAGGATATACAAAGAACTCAAAAAGTTAAACAACAAAAAAACAAATAACCCAATCGACAAATGGACCAAGGACCTGAACAGAGACTTCTCAGAAGAGGATATACAATCAATTAACAAATACACGAAAAAATGCTCACCATTGCTAGCAATCAGAGAAATGCAAATTAAAACCACTCTAAGATACCATCTCACTCCAATAAGAATCGCAGCCATTATGAAGTTAAACAACAATAAGTGCTGGCAAGGATTCGGGGGAGAAAGGTACACTCATACATTGCTGGTGGGGCTGCAAATTGGTGCAGCCAATTTGGAGGGCAGTATGAAAATTCCTTGGAAAGCTGGGAATGGAACCACCATTTGACCCAGCTATTCCCCTTCTTGGACTATACCCAAAAGACTTAAAAAGAGCATACTACAGGGACACAGCTACATCAATGTTCATAGCAGCACAATTCACAATAGCTAGACTGTGGAACCAACCTAGATGCCCTTCAATAGATGAATGGATTAAAAAAAATGTGGCATTTATACACAATGGAATATTACTCAGCACTAAAAAATAACAAAATCATAGCATTTGCAGGGAAATGGATGGCATTAGAGCAGATTATGCTAAGTGAAGTTAGCCAAGCCCTAAAAAACAAATGCTGAATGTCTTCTCTGATATAAGGGAGGTGACTCAAAACAGAGTAGGGAGGAAGAGCATGAGAAGAAGATTACCACTAAACAGGGAAGAGGTGGGAGGGAATGGGAGGGAGAAGGGGAATTGCAGGGAAGATGGAAGGAGACCCTCATCGTTATACAATATACATATATGATGGTGTGATGGGGAAGGAAAAAGAGAGAGAGAGAAATGTGTCACAGTAGATTGGGTAGAGAGAAGTGATGGGAGGGGAGGGGAGGGGAGGGCAGGGGAGGGGGGGATAGGGAGGGCAGCAGAATACAACAGACACTAGTATTGCTGTATGTATATATGTGGCTGTATAACCAACGTGATCCTGCAATTTGTACACGTGGAAAAATGAGAATTCACACCCCATTTGAATCAAATGTATGATATGTCAAGATCATTGTATTGTCTTGAGCAACTAATAAAAAATAAAAATTTAAAAAAAGTCTTTGCAGTTATTTAAAAATTTGTTGACATGCATATCATGTTTTCTTGTACTATGATGGTGTTTAACATTAAATTAAACTGAAAAAACATGTTGTTTATTTACATCTTCTAGTAAAAAGTTAAAACTTGGGAAGATGGCAGCTCTGCATTGGCTTTTCTAAAATTAAGGTTTGACCATATCTGCTCATATAAAATTACAAAAAAAGAACACTATTACCTCATGCCTGTAGAACATTAAACACTAGTTTAGATTCAGCATATCAGCTTGGTTCATACTATTCTCAAAACTAATAGTAGTGTAATAATAACCTCATAAATACTTTTAGTGCTTATTTTAAGTGAAGAGTACTTTTGGCCTGATAGTTTTAGGAAATGCAAGCAATTGTTAAATATTGTTTCTCTCAACTACAAGACAAAACTTCCAACCACTCTTTTTAAGAGTCTAAATCATTGTAATGAAAGTGTATCCTGAGACTGACTGCAAGATGAACTTAAACAAAATACTAATATCATTCGAAAACATCTGTTAATCATTTCTCAAGAATGTGAAACAGAAGTAAAATGAATTCAGAGGTTGACAGAAAACTGCAATCATCATTCATAATTTCTAATTTTAAATCTGTCATTAATTGAAAAGCCTGATTTCAATAAGAAATTATATAAATTTGATAAATCAATTATATAAATTAAACCTTATAATCTTATACTTATAAAGTATCATTTACTGGTTTTATATATTAGGGGCTTATATAAATAATATTTCATTTGAGCTGGGTGGACTGCACACACCTATAATCACAGCAACTTGGGAGATTGAGGTAGGAGGATCACAAGTTCAAGGCCAGCTTCAGAAACAGGCCCTAATCAACTTAGCAAGATCCTGTCTGAAAATTAATAAATAAAAAGGGGATGGGGTGGTAGCTCAGTGGTAGAGCGCTTGCCTACGACATGGGAGGCACTGGGTTCAATTCCTTAGCACCACATGAAAAGATAAATAAATGAAATAAAGTTATTTCTTTAAAAAAAGAAAGCTTTTGGGGCTGGAGCTGTGGCTGAGTGGTAGAGAGCTTGCCTATCATGTGAGAGGCCCTGGGTTCGATCCTCAGCACCACATAAAAATAAGTAAATAAAATAAAGGCATTGTGTCCAACTACACCTAAAAAATAAATATTTAATAAAAGAAAGAAAGAAAGAAAGCTTAAAAAAATTTAAAAAACATAAAAAGGGCTGGGGATATAGTTCAGTGGTAAAGCACCCCTGGGATCAACCCCTGTATTAAAAAAAAAAAAAAAAAAAAAAAGATTTCACTTGACAAATGGTTTCTATTCCTAAAAATGTTTGGAAATCATTGCTTTAAACTACAAATTATTCCAAAAAGTTTTCTGGTGGGGTCAGTGCTGAGGACTGAACTTAGGGCTTCAATGAGCTAATTCCACAGCTCTCTCCTAACAAAATTCAAATTACTTGGCATACAAATTTATTTGGCTTTAGATATAGATTTCCTATCTTGGATAACAATGAAATTCAAGATGTTGACTTTTCAATTCTATTAGGACAAAATTATCTGAACATTAAAATCCAAAAAATTTTGCAATACTGAAATAGATTTTGCTTTCTTTTTAACTAATGAAAGTATATTTAAAAATATACTTTTCAAGTGAGTAAACAGGGGGGCGGGAGGGGTGGCTCAGTGGTAGCACACTTCCCTGGCATGTGTGAGGCACTGGGTTCAATTCTCAGCAGCGCATATAAATAAATAAAGTAAAGGTCTATAAACAAACAAACAAAAAAAAAAAGTGAGTAAGCAGGGTTGGGGTTGTAGCTCAGTGGTGGAGCACTTGCCCTGCACATGTGAGGCCCTGGGTTTGATCCTCAGCCCCACATAAAAATAAACAAATAAAATAAAGGTATTTTGTCCATCTACAACTAAAACAAAAAATATTTTTTAAAAAGTGATTAAGAAGGTTCTAGTAATGTTTATTTCTTCCCTGGCTGAGACTTCCTCCCACTAAATGAAGCAATTTTTTCCTCATTCTCTTTCCAAGTAAAGAGGAATACTGAAGAAAACAAAGTCTGCTTGCTTTCTTCCAGCTCTAATGATTTTGAACCTAGTAAAGAACAGGATCTCTAAAGAACATAACAAGAAATGTGGACATATTGAAACTACAAAGCAGCAAAATGTGTCCTAATGACATACCAGAAACATTACTTGCTCAATTTTCTCCTAAACAAAACTTGGGTATAGTTAAGTCGTACAGTGCCTGCCTAGAATACTTGGGAGGCCCTGGGTTTGATTCTCAGCACTGAAAAAAGAAAAGAAAAAAAGAAAGAACAGAAAAAGAAAAACATAATTGAAAAATAAATATAAGCAAAGGAAATGACACATATATGTGAAAGTCAGTTTTTCAAAAAATTACCAGGTTATTATTCCCCACTCATCTAGTATTGACATGTCATCCTCTATAGCATATGTATTCACAGAAACCAGGAATCTTAAGTATGGCCTATGGGCCAAATCTGACTGTGCACTAAGGGTTCTTACATATTTAAAGGGTAAGGAAAAAAGAAAACAAAGAATATGCGACAGACACTGACCATATTTGGCCTGCAAAATTTTACTATTAAATATTTACTATAAAAACCTAAAATTTTTACTATTTAGTCTTTTATAGAAAAGACTGCAAGTCACTGCTAGAGAAAACAATGAATATATTCATAACATAAAAATTAAATATCTTAATATAATAAAAGTCACATTTATTACCTGCTCATAATTTAAACGTTGAATTTCTGAAATTTCTTTTGGCTTCGAATCAAGCATGTAATCTCCTGTAAAAACAAAATTGTGAAATTGCCTTTTTAAGTGTTAATTTTTTTGTTTATAAAATTAAGCTTTCAATTATAAATTTTTAAACACTGGATCAATAGAGGATATAAATGTTGACCCCTCAATTCTATCCAGAGAAAAGCAATAACTGTTTGCTATCCTCAGATTTTTTTTTCAATGTACTTAAAAACACCATTAAATTTTTCTTATCTCCCATTTTATAATACATTTGAGTTTCTTTATATATTACTACTCCCAAACATTGTAACAACTTCTATTGCTATCAATCAAATATTCCTCTAATTATTTCATTAACAGTGGGTGTTATAAGTATGTTAAATATCCAAAACTCAGAAAAACCTAAATTTTTTTGCATTAAAAAATGGATATTTAAAAATATGTATTTTAATTTGGTCTCACTCCTTACCCCACTACACATCCTCATGAACTGGAGACTGACCCCAGGGGAAATTTATCACAGAGCATTATCTCCAACCAGTTTTATTGTTTATTTTGAAAGGCTCTCACTAAATTGCTTATAGCCTCATTAAACTGCTGAGGCCTTATATTTGTGATCCTCCTGCTTCAGCCTCCCAGGTTGCTGAGATTACAGGTGCACAACAAAAAATATTATTTTTAAATTTTTTGATTGTCTGGGGAATTGAACTCAGGAGCGCCCTACTTACTACTAAGTCATATCTCCAGCCCTTTTTAAAAATTTGAGGTATGGTCTCACTAAGTTGATGAGGCTGGGCCTTGAACTTGATCCTCCTGCCTCAGCTTCCTGAGTTGCTGGTATTATAGGCATGAGCACTTGCCCAGCACTTGTCTCTTTTTAATGTTTAAATTTTTCATTTACCTTATTTGTTTTGAAAGAAACATTGAGATATTGAACTAGTTCTAACCCAACCTCCCAAACTGCTAACAAGCTAATAAAATTGCTTTAATATAACCTTTATTTTTCTAATTCAAAATAAACTTTTAAAGACTTCATCAAGTATTGTGTTAAACTTTCCAACTCTGATCACAAAAGAATTCCTATGAACATTAATATATTATTTGTGTGTTTTCAATTAGAACTTTAAGATAGTAAAGTCTAACCAACAATGATTTCATTCTGCATATGTAGAAGGACTCCAAAAGCATTAAATTAATTGGTTGATGGACATGTATAAGTAAGTCAATTTACAAAAAATGTTTTTGAGTCTTTACACAGCACATTATGTGTATTGCTTTTTGGCAATGCTGGAAATAAAGCCCCATGCAGGGCTTTCATGAATGTCAGGCAAATATTCTACCACTGAGCTACATCCCCAACTTCATGTTGAGTTTTGTTTTGTTTTTTTATTTAAAATTTCTTTTTGTAGTTGTAGATGAATAATACTTTTACTTTATTTACTTATTTTTATAAGGTGCTGAGGATCAAACCTAGTGCTTCACACGTGCCAGGCATGCACTCTACCACTGAACCACAACCACCCCATGTTGAGGTTTTGACAGATTTAATTGAAGGGGCTGTGGTTGTAACACAGTGGTAGAGCTCTTGTCTAGCATGTGTAAGGCATTGGGTTTGATCCTCAGCACCACATAAATAAAATAAAGGTTAAAAAAACTTTAAAAGAAAAAGATTTAATTGAAAATATGCTTTATTTTGAGCATATGCTATATCTTATTTATTCAAATAACTGGAACAAAAATGTTATATTTGAATCCTATATTTCATTTGGATTCAATGTTTATTTTGATAAGAGACTGCATGTTCTCCTGAATATCACCATAGTAGCGCCAGGATTCAGAGCATTATATAAAATAGCATGAAATAATCCTGGACATGTTACCATAGACTAAAGTTTAGGTGCAAAGAGAATGATTACTGGGAAAGACTCAGATAAGTAACTCTTTTTTTCCAGAGGCCAAAGTTTCTAGTGGATAAAAGAAGAGCCTAGTTAAGGAAAACAACCTCTAAGATGGGCCTCAATGATCTCCAACCTCCTGATATTCTACCACTATTTTTTCCTCCCACTAGGCTGGGGATCATAGAACCCAAGGCCTTGTACATGCAATACAAGTACTCTACTGATGAGTTATATTTTCCAGCTTCTTTGTATAATCCTCTTTCCCTGAGCATAGAATGAATTTACTAACTCAATTCTAATAAATAAAATGACAGAAGAGGGCTGGGGCTGTAGCTCAATGGTAGAGTGCTTGCCTAGCATGTGTGGGGCACTGGATTTGATCCTCAGCACCACATAAAAAATAAAATGAAGGTATTGTGTCCATCTACAATTAAAAAATATATTTTTAAAAAATGGCAGAAGAAATGAGTTGTCCCATTAAAAATTAGAATATAAAATATTGTAGCTTTTGTAGTTCTGTTCTTTCACCTGAGAAGGAACAGCTGCCATGAGCTGCTCCTATGGCAAGGACCTGGGGACATTTTTAGTCAATAGCCAGGAAAGAACTAAGGACCTCAGTCCAACAACCCATGGGGAACTATATCTTGTCAACAACTGTGTAAATGATTAGAAGACGATTCTCCTAAGCTGTACCTTCATTTGAACCTGCAGCCCTGGTCAGCACCTTGACTGGAACTCCCTGCTATAACCTGAATTAGGGCAACCTAGCTAAACCTAACCCAAATTCCTGATCTACAGGTTTTGTGAGATAAATACATGTTTACTGATTGAAGTCACTAAAATGTTGGAGTGATATGTTATATAGCATTATATAACTAATACATAATAAGAGAACCAGATATATTTTTAAGAGACAATTGTGTATATGTAGATGTATATACACATGCATGTGCTAGGGATCAAACACAGAGTCTTGTGCATGCTACACATACATTATCACTGAGTTACATAACCAGCCCCTAAAATCATATTTTTAAAAGACTGAGTTTGAGGCTGGGCGTGGTGACCCATGCCTATAATCCCAGCTGCTGGGAGGCAGAGGCAAGAGGATCACAAGTTCAAAGCCAGCCTCCGCAATTTATCGAGGCACTAAGTAATTCAGTGAGACCCTGTCTCTAAATAAAATACAAAACTGGGCTGGGGATGTGGCTCAGTGGTTGAGTGCCCCTGAGTTCAATTCCCAGTACCATTAAAAAAAAAAAAAAGATTGAGTTTGAGTTTCTAAAGAAGTATCTTCAGAAAGTATCAATTGTAGATATATAAAAAATCTCTTAAGAGAGCTATTTTTTGCCTGCACGGCCGTAATCCCAGCAGCTCAGGAGGCTGAAGCAGGAGGACTGCAAGTTCAAAGCAAGCCTCAGCAACTTAGTGAGACCAGAAGCAACTTAGCAAGACTCTGTCTCTAAATAAAATATAAAAAGGGGTGGGGATGTGGCTCAGTGGTTAAGCATCTCTGAGTTCAATTCCAGTACCCCCCCCCCCCAAAAAAAAGAGTGCTATTTTCTTTAACTGATCTAACCTTTGTTATCTATATTTGGTCAACAATACTATTTTGATCACAAAGTATTTCTTGAAAGTTTACTATGTTTAGTGAGGGGTTAGAATAAATGTTAGGATGTAAATGTTGCTGTTTAAAAAAAATAATTTTGTTAGGCAAAAACCTTATAAGATATACAGAATAAGATAATGACAAAGTATAATATAAAATGTAATAAATGCTTAAATACCAAGTGATTTTGAAAAGAGATTGATCAAGTCTGTCAACTTCAGAAATCCTGTGAAGGGAGAAGTCTAAACTGAATTCAGCAAAATGGGGAGAACTTGGAAAGGCAGTAGAAGAAAAAAGCATGTTTTGAGGGAAAAGGAACGATAGAGAAAGCTAAATAAGAGGGCTCGAGATATAGCTCAGTGGCAGAGTACTTGAATAGCCTGAGCAAGGCCCTTGTTCAATCCCCAGCAATAAGGGAAAAAAAAAAAAAAAAAAGCACAAATAAGAAAGATCGTTTCGAGGAGGGGGTTGGGAGGAGCTGGGGTTGTGGCTCAGCGGTAGAGCACTCACCTAGCATGTGTGAGGCACTGGGTTTGATTCTCAGCACCACATAAAAATAAATGAATAAAATAAAGGTATTTGTCCAACTACAACTAAAAAATATTTTTAAAAAAGAAAGAAAGATCATTTCATATAAGTAACTTATAAAACTAATCCACAAGATTTATGTTGCAAAGTAGTGGGAAATCCAGATGCATGAATAAATCAATGAGATTATAGGAAATCATAAATAATGTGCTGATAAATGTGGCTCCTTTAAAAAAAAATCATAGGGATCTTTATGTTTTTGCGTTGGTTTGTTTTGTTTGCATTGCTGGGGATCAAAGCCAGGGCCTCACACATGCTAGCAAGTTCTTGTCTTTAGCACTGAGTTATATCCCTAGCTCTTTCTGACTTTAAATAGAGTGAAGAATAAAATTGATGCTTTAGGAAGAGTATGATGATATGGAGGCTAACTTTGAGGGCAGAAAATGATAGTTTGCAGTAAATCAGATGGTGAAGTATTAATATATAGAAAAGGGAGTTTCAAAGAAAGGAGTCATTGCTACTAATGGGATATTCCAGAAAAACAGAAGCCAAGGAACAAAACCCTGACAGTTACATTAGGCAAAAAAAAAGAAAATGGGAGAATGAGTTTGGCAGCAATTAGTTTATCCCAAATGAACATTTGGAAAAGAAGTGATCTCATCAATTCTAGGAAAATTAAAATGCTTTAACACTGACCACTTTTATAGCATATTTATATTCAAATGATAAAATTAAAAAGATAAATTTGGGGGTACTAGGGATTCAGTATAGGGGCACTTAACCTCTGAACCACATCCCCAACCCTTTTTAAATTTTTTTTTTATTTTGAGACAGGGTCTTGCTTAGTTGCTTAGGGCCTCAATAAGTTGCTGAAGCTGGCTTTGAACCTGCAATCCTCCTGACTCAGCCTCCTGAGCCCCTGCAATTACTGCTGTGTGCCACAGTGCTCAGCAAAAGATAAATTTTTTAAAGTCAGAGAATGCCACTATCCCAACAACTGTTTTCCCCA